CTGGGGTCGCCCATTGCGCACAGCTCCTCTTCCTGAAGCTGATGCTGCTCCTGCAGCCCATCCCAGTGCTGGATCCAGGCTCCAAGGAAAGGGTTTATGGGATGTAAGGGACTCCTTTCCATCGTCCTGCTGCTTGTCTCACACTCTGCCCCCCTAAATCCCTATTTGCAGCTCAGAAGCTCCAGCCAGCTCACAGACCCTCCCGGTGGGCTCCTCCTGCTGCCGGCAGCACTGTTGCCTGTTGATGGTTAGCACCTCGCCCTGGGTAAATCAGGGCTTCAGTTTTCAAAATAGCGTGTTGATTGATGCTTAAAATATCCCCAGCAATTACTTCGCCCCGGTATAATTATAATAATTAAACTTGGATAATGCTTAGTCCTACTTTTTATCAGAACTGTGCGCTGCGGCACCAGTGTGCGGTGTTTTGTTTCCAGCCTCATTTTCCAACCCCACCCTGTTGAGCACTGCTGAAGGGACATGAGCTGGCAGCCTCCAGCTGACAAGGGGACAGTCACCCTGTCACGGCACCTCCAGCCCCAGGGACCGCTCGTGGCACCGTTTAACCCAGGGCACAGTGTGTGGTGGCCGTGCCCTGGCCCTCGCTGCCCCTTACACTGGGGTGAGCAGCAGGAGGGGATGCTCCTGGCTCCACGCTGGGGTGAGGGGTGCTGGAGGGAGCAGGGATGCTGGTTCTCCTCTTTGGCTGCTCGCCCTGTCCCCCCCCAGTCTCTCTCCCGCGGCTCAGCACAATATTTCTCCTCTGCGCTCCCAGCAGTGACACTTGGAACAGCTCAGGCTGGTGAGTGCGTTTCCGGCTGTGATAAATATCAGGGAAAGGAATGAGATCCCAACACTGTATTTCATGCCCTGAAATCCCACTTGCATCTGGAAATGAAGAGAGTTCTCCGGCTGATATATGCAGCTCTGAGGCCATTCGCATCCTGTTCGCTTGTACACATTGTCACGGTGATTTAAGCTGGCAATTTGGCCCTAAATGAAGAGCATCTCACTTTGTCCCTCCCCATTTTCCTATATATTATCCTGCAGAAGGGAGCTTTTTGAGATTTAGCTGGGCTGGGGCTGGGCAGCATCTCTGGTCCTGGTTTTGTGCTGGTCTGGCAGAGAGAGCTGTGGAGGGTCCCGGCACTGCGGAGAAGCTCCTGGCGCAGCCTGGGAATGCAAGCGGCAGATGGCTGTGCCGAGCTCTGTCTTCCCAGGTCATCTCTCTTTAAAGCCTGCATGGACATGGAAAAAAAGCTTTTCCTCCTTTTCAGGTCAGGTGGCATCGTGAGGAATGGCAGCTGTGCTGTCCCATGGTGGCCTCAGGAAAGGGGACGCTGTGAGAGCTATGGGAGCCATCCCTACTGCCTGGCATGAGCCCTCCTCATGCTGCCCTGTGCCCATGTTTGTCCCTCTGTCCATCAAGCAGCATGTGGCTGCACAGCTGCAGGGCCAGCTCAAGTGTGAACCATCATCACCTGCATCCCACCCAATGTGCAAACCAGAGACATCACTTAACAGGGACCTGCTCACGGCTAGGACTCCTCAGGTAAAAGAGGTAACTGGGTGAAATGATTCCATAGCAGAGCTGTTTGTTTAAAACATCGTTAGTGACACTTAATTAATTCCCCCCGAGCCCTAGGGGTGCTGGGTAAGCCTCAGGACCCATCATCCTCCTGCCAGTGCTGCAAGGTGCAGAGGTGGGAGCTGTGGGGGGCCCCCTGGTCCCAGGATGAAGGCAGGACCATTTCCCAGCCTCTCACCCAAGGGTTGCACAGCTGGGGACAGGGGGGTTTCCCCCAGGGAAGCAACTCGACTCCTTGCTGATGGGTCAGTCCCCCTAGACCCCAACCCAACCCCGTCCCCTCCCCAGGAACCGCAGACGGACGGACCCAGTCACCACTGGCTGCGCGGTTCTCATATCAGTTTTAATAGCAACATCAGAGTACTAAATATACAGAGGGCAAGGGGACAGGGTGGCATTTACAGTGCTTCCAAATACACGGCTTCCACGGACAGAGACAAATTAAAAACCGCTCGGGAAGAGAAAAGGTCCTTTTGGCATGGCCCCAGCTCGTGCCGCGGGCTCGGGGAGCAGCCGCGATGCCGAAAGGCCACAGCGCTTCTACCGGCGCTGGGCTGGCCCGGCACCGCGCCCGGCTCGCCTCCCGCTGCAGGAGTTTCCCAGGAAAAGAAAGAAGTACTCAGTGATGTAAAACCGGTTACAAAGTAAAACTGTCTCATGTTAGAAAACGGGTTTTGGCAAAATAAAAATAAAAGTGTAAACTTCACTGTACATGTCCTATCAAACAAAAAAAATAAACCCCTCGGAACCTAAAATAGAAGAATCTGGGTCAGAAATCTGTGCCCTTAGTGTATATTTTTGTGCAACATATACTTTATTCAAAGTAAATATTATCTCCACTCTTGACACTATTAAAAATGTACCTACAAACGCTGAGAGTAATTCTTAAAAATGTGTGAGAAGCATTAGATGAGCTCGGGAGATCAAACCCATGGACTTGGAAATGGAAAGGGATTTCTTGCTGGTTTTGAAAAAATCACGTACAGATTTTATACCTGGTTGAACGAAAATTCCAACCACATTCATCCTGAAATGGGCGGGCTGGGATAGGATAGATATATTTTTGTTCTATTTTATTTTTAAAATTTTTTTTTTTTTTTTTTTACAAAATATATAATATGTGTAGAATATCTACTATTTAACTACCATTTGAGCTGAACTACCTTCCTTTTGCAACGAGCTGCCAGTGGAGAAGAGGTAACCTGAAATGCACCCCCGCGCCGGCTCTGCTGTCGCTGTGGTGACCTCACGGCAGGCTCGGTGCCCGTGACCCCACGGAGCAGCCACACAGCCCCTCCACGCCACTGCCACAGGCCGCCCTTTCTCCAGCTGGGAAGACAGAGTGAAGGTAAACGATCGGATCTGGAGAGACAGGCGGCCGCCCGGGACTGGCCCTGCCTGGGGTGCTGCGGGTGATGCTGCCCTTGGGAGACCCCGGCTCGGGAAGGTCAAGGGACTGAGGATCAAACCCTGCCCGCCCTACCCGGAGGTGCCGTGACATGGGAGCTCAGAGCTGCAGTCCCAAACCAGCTCATCTGGTGCAAGACAGAGCCCACTGGCACCAGTGGTGCCCACGGCTCTGCCTGCAGCCCTTGCCCCTGCAGTCACACCACGTCCCGAGGCTCCTGCTGAGTGTTTGCAAGGGATTTGGAGGGAGGAGAGTCCTGGGTTTGCTGCAGAGCCGAAGGAGAGCCAACCTCTCCTTGCTGTGGGTGGCTCATCCCACACCACTGCCTCTCTAAGACAGAGCCACATGTGACACACAGACACTCCATGACACCTCTGGGGGACGTGGCAGCCTCTTGGCTGCCATGGTGTGTTTCTCAGGGACGACTCAGGGGCTAAGGAATCCGGAAAATGAACCAAAAAGAAACAAGCAGCAGCGGGCTGGGGGCTTACAGCAAAGCAAGGAGCAAAACTTCTCTTTTTTCAAGCTTCCAGAACCCCAGGGTGAGATGATGTGCCCAAAATATGACACAGCTCCTGCGGGAGCATGTCCGAGAACATCACGCTTCCCTGCTTTTCCACGGTGGGAAGATCTGCTCAACAGACTATGCCATGGAAATGCAACTTTCTGTTTTCGTTTCTTTCTTGTTTTTTGGCTTTCATCAACAGGAGGGAACGAAATCACCACAGTTCATTTCTCTTCACTCTGCAAGACCTTGGGACGCCTGGATGCTGCCTTGTACATCACCACATCAGCAGCTCCGGCCCTGTCCTTTCTCCTCCTCCTCTCCCTCCCTCCAGCAGCAGCCCTGTCTGTCCAGTATGCATGGGGGGAGGCTTCCTCTGATAAAGTGCAAGTGCTGTTGGTCCTTATAAATAAGGGAAGATTGTGCATCTACTTTTGTTCCCTGGTTCACCGCTCGGCTCTGGGTGACCAGGATGTGTCCTGCTGCAGACTGTGGGGGAAGCTCGGGCAAATCCTGCCCTCTGAAACCTGCTCCTGTCCTGGGAGTCACAATTATTCACCTTCTTTCTCTCTCTCTCTCTCTCTCTCTCTCTCTCTCTCTCTCACACACACACACACACACACATTCCTTCCTCTCCTCTTCCCCACCTCCACAGGGAATTTCCCACGAGCCGGGGGCCTCTCCATCCCCATCCCCATCCCCATCCCCATCCCCATCCCCATCCCCATCCCCATCCCCATCCCCATCCCCATCCCCACCACCACTGGCACTGGTGCTGCCCGCAACACCCTGCCATCCCCCGGCTCTGCCTGACAATTCCCTGCAGGCAGCAGGTTCCATCCATGCAGAAGCAGAGCACTGCTTCAAACGCCCTGGAACGAGGGAGCTGAGATATATTTCATGTCATCCTGCTATCATGATTACACCGGAATACCCACAGGAATGAAATAAATAGGAAGATCAATGGGAGAAGCACAAGGGACATGGCTCCAAGCTGGAGCAGATGGATTACCATGAAGTCACAAAGAGGAGGAGAACCCAACACCTGTGCCAGTGAGGGCGGCTCTCAGGGACTGCACCAGTGACACCAGTGCCCCAGGAAAGCCCCAGGACACTGAGATGACCCTGGAGCAGTTGCTCAGACTCCACACTTCCCAAGGCAGACACTCCTCATGTTTTCCCAGGGAAGGCTAAAGCTTTGGGGGGTCACTGCTCTAGCAAGACACTGTCTCCCCTCCTCCAGGGAGGCATCCAGTGGCTCTGGAGAGCTGGATATGAGCCACCCAGGAGACCCCGCTCTGCCGGGGAGATGGTTGGCTCAAGTCTGTAGGTAATTGTCAGGGCTGGCAAGGAAGACTTCTGTCCAAGGCAGCATCCAAAAATTCAGAAAAAATAATCCAGACTGTGCAGTTCCATGGGAAAAGGACAGAAAAGGACATGGGAACAAGAGACCGCACTCGTGGCTATGTCCAACACCACAGGGTTCTACCTTGTTTTTTAAATGCATGTTCATTATCATAAAGAAAAGGAGCTGAGTAATTAGTAGGGGAGTAGAAATGTGGATCTGGACAATTCTAAAAAAACACTAGTATTTACCAAGGGCAGTTTACAAAAAGAACTAGAGGACTTTGGTCTGATCTCTGCTGTCGTTCTCACCCACCTAACGGCAAAGGGACCCGAGCGAGCCCCATCCTGGTGCAGCACAGCATGGCAGCACCTGACTCCATGGAAAGACTTGGAGAGAGGGCTTAGGGTCAGCTGGCATCCTCATCAGCACCCACCAACACTACCCAACACAGCTGGAGCTGGCTGGGCCATGGGTGTCTTTCTAGAGCAACACACCAAATTGGAATCCACAGAACTGTGCTTCCCAGGCAAAAAAATCCCTTTAAACACTATTAAATGATCCCTAGGACTGTGGACAGCAGACTGTGTCTTCCCTTGCCACAGCAGAGCCAGCCAAGACCAGGAAAGCAAGGGATAAGCTCCCTTGATTCCACAGCCCTGGGCTGGGGCAGGAGGCAACCAGGTCCTTCCTCTTGTTTCTCACACAGGGTTGAGCAATCTTTGGTGCTGTGGCCTATTTAGAAGCCATTTTCCAAAAAGACTCCCACATCCCACTGCTGAAATTTGTCTCCTGTGCCAAGAGAGGCCCATCTTTTGGAATTCCACCCCTTAAACCTGCCCTGCCCAGCCCTGAGCTGTCCCACCTATCACGGCAGGAATCGCAGCTCTGGACATGGGGCAGGCACAGGCTCTGGCTTCCTATCGGCCTTGATGATGCATCTGGATACAGAAGCCTGGAAATACCTTCACCACTGCCCTGAGCTGCCTTCCAGATGGTCTTTGGGAAGCTTCTCCCCTGCTTCCTGCCAGCAGCGCAGCCCCAGCTGTCCCCCACCACAGTCACGTCACCACGCTGGAAAAGCATTTCCAAAAAGAACCAAAATAATATCTATATATATGTATACATACATATATATGTCTATACATACACACACACGTATATATATGTATATATGTCTACCTATATATACACATATAGGTTGACAGACAAGCTGCCAAAGTAGAAAACGTCAGATCACCCGGTTTGCATGATGCGTGTTAAAGAAATGAGACTTTTAGCCCATGACATCTTCTTTAAAAATGAGTATTTAAGATCTTCAAAAATTGCTACAGTACAAAAGGTGTTTGTGTGTGTATATATATATTTTCTCTCTACATATACCATATGTATGTACGCGTATGGACCGGAATGGATGACCCCACCAGAAGAGACGCCCCACTCATCCTCCACAAGGTTTCCAGGCGTTACTGACACGGCTCCTCACAAAGTCTTTGCATCGGTTCATGGCACATAATGGTATTATTGGCACAGGTTCAGAGTCACCGTCCACGGCCGGGCTCCAGGCGCTCAGTCCTTCCCTCTTCATCCCTCGCCGGTTCCTCCTCCTCCTCCTCCACGGGATTCCTTGCTCACACACCTTCCTGTCTCTCCTCCCAAAACCGTGCTCCTTGACAATGCAGTTACCTACAGGCATGTTCATTTTTATAAAAATATATTTGGCCCATAGAACGCTGCTCTTTGAGTCTCCTACTGGTAAACAGAAATGGTAGGTACAGGTAACCCATTATTTTTTTATATTTTTTACAGGTTCACCAATGGAATCCTGTTGAGGACGAGAAGAAAAAGAAAGATTAAGTCACGACAGGGAATTGCACTGCAACTTGCATTGCTGCTTCAGGGCTCCCCACAGCCTGGGGGCTTTTCCCTCTTTCCCCCCTGCTGCGGTGGCATCCTGGGGGAGTGGGGCACAGAGGGGGTGGGGTACCAGTGACATCCTCCTCCTCCTCCTCACCAGCTGCTGGTGTGTGCTGGGGACCTGGGACCACTGCTTCTATCTCCCTGGGGCCTTTTCCAGAACAAGATTTGCTGCCAGTCATCACTGTGTTCTGCAGCTTCTCATACTCAGGCCATGAGCAGCAAGTGCTCTGGCTGATGAGATGATGATGACAAGCACTAACAAAATTTGCTAAAGTTAAATCTAAAGAATCAATAGAGAATTGGTTAAGCACCAACCCAGAGATCCTATTGAAGTCCTTAAGCTATTTATTTACTGTCTACTGGAAGATGTCTTCCTACGCAATCTCGGACCCTCAGTACAGAGACAATCACTCCCCATCATTAGTGTGCAGCCACTGGCTTTCTGTCGTGCTGTTCCATGCAGTGACGTGCTGTAGCACTGCGGGGTGTGCCTGAGACAGCTGCCAGCAGGTACACACACCCCGTACCACAGTGCTCAGTACACACCCCCCTGGTCCACGCTGTGTCCTCTGCCTGGCTGGGATCAGCATTCAGAACCCAGGGTGCTTTTTGTCCCAGAGCTCTTTCTCCAACACTATTTTTAAGCAAGATGCCCAATGTACACCATCTCCAAGAACAACCCTGAAGTCTTAATTAGCAAGACAGATTTTCCAGAGTCCTTAATCTCCTGCGCCGGGGCTGTGCTGGGACTGCTGTTATTCCTCTGAAGACAAGCTGGGATTTTTTATGATGACTCATTATCTGTTAATGTTAACACAAACCATTTGCTGTTGTTAGGCAGAACGGGGCCATCACATCAGCTTGCTGCCGTGTTCAAGTGTAGCATTACCACACAATGCTGTCAGCTCTCACCGCCCCGTGCCAGGGCAGGGTCAGACCGATGTCACCAAATCAGCACAGCTGCCAGACCCCAAATCTACCCCTCCCTGCCATCAGTGCCAAACATCCTGTGGCTCTGGGTGAGCACTGGTTAATGTGTGATGGCAGGAGGTACAATTGGTATTGTATCCCAAATAGCCTCTTTGTGCAAAGTAGGTCAGCGCTTGATCAACCTTACAGATTTTTGTATAATCTCATTCCATGGGGTTTTTCAGTCAAAGAGAGTGGGATTAAGGACAAGAATAATGCGGAATCTCAAACTTCATTTCAGAAAGCCCCAAAGCCAGGATGAAATCAAGCCAAACCAGCCACCCTGTGCTGTGGTGCCTGGCCAGAGCCACTCAAGGCTTCAGCAAATGTCACCTGTTGTTCTGCAGAACAGCGTCTGCTCCTGCCTCTGCCTGGGTGCTGTGTGTCCTCCAGTACTGCTGGCACCGGGGCACAGGGGGTTTCCCTTCTCATACCTCCCTGCAGGCAATTCCTCAGTGCTTTGACTGCTCCACTCCACAGTGCCATCCCTTACATTTGCTGCCTCAACTGTTCAGCCCAGCCTGACGAGGCCATCAGCATCCTCCAAGGCCAGGCTGCCAGCTGGACAGCACAGCGGTCAGCCCTCACTCCAGGCTGAGGGACTGTCAGATGGGAAGTTCACATTAAATCCAACTGGGCTCCCAGTGCTCATCTTGATGAAACATCTGCAGCCCCTCTGTCCTGCCATCCCTGTCCCACCTTGTGCTGCCAGCTCCAGGTCCACACTTTTGGGAGCGCTGATTTGCCTATCAGACAGCTCAGAGATGTGAAGTGTTGTCAATTTGAACTTGTAAAACACCAGGAGAAAGGGGCTGGGAGGAGAAAGCTGCACGTAGCCTCTCCAGCCAGGAAGCTGCACATGCTCCAGAGCATCCTCCATCTCTGCTGAGGTGCAGTGGGTCAATGGCAACTGTCCCCTTCAGGTGACCTTGCTGCGCCAGCCACGAAACAATCATTCCTCCGGCAGCAGCACAGCCCAAGCAGCTGCATCTCCTTGTCCACCAGCCTCTCCTCAAGAGCTGGAAAGGCATCCTCCATCCCTCCACTCCTCCAGCACTTCCCTCCATCCCACTGCTCCTCTGGCACTTGGCAGCCGGTGAGAGCACGAGGCAACCACGGTGGCAGGGACAGCCTAGCAGGAAGCTCATCTTAACGCCATCTGCACTTCACACAGCGACACGTGAAACTTGGGAGCATTCCCTTCACCTGAGGGAATTCCCACGGGCACCTGCTTTGGACCAGGACGTACCACTTATGCAAATGTATTCCAGAAAAACCCCGGTGCAAACACACCTACACACAGGTACACGTGCAGAAAACAGGTTTTGGAATAATCTTATTTTGTTATCCTTAATGAAACCAAGCAGCAGCTTCCAGAATTGTCTGTGTAATTGAAACGCTATTACAGAGCTAATGCTCCAGGTAAAAGACGGATAGATTTTTCCAGAGCGCGTTTTATGGATTCCATGAAAACAGGTCAATGAGAATTTCAAGAATTTAATAAGGCGTAATGGAATGGCTTCAGGCTATTTAAAGAAACATATGGAGATGGCCAGGGCATGGTCTTTGGCCCAAGGTTTCACAGCACCTCGAGTGGGAGCAGTGGGATCCTCACAGGCTTCCCATAGCACTCTGAGCTGCTCCTCCTCCTTCCCTCCCTGGACTTGAGGCACGAGACCTGTGGATGGCACCGAGTGCAGTTGGTTTGTTTTGTGTGCTATTTCTTTTTTTTTAATACACTTTAAGCCAATGGAGAGACATTCCAAACTACAAAGCTGAGAGTGGAAAAGGCACACCCCAATTTGGTGAACCCGAATGTGGTCAATGCCGGGATCTGGAGGAATGAGCTGCACTCTGCCCTCGCCCCCACTGCAGCGGCACTGGCTCTCCCAGCCAGCATTCCCAGCTTTCCCAGTCAGCATTCCCAGCTCTCTCCATCTGCAATTGCTTTGGAGAGCCACAAGCCCTGGCAGACTGGGAGCCCTGGGCTGCAGCCCAGGAGCAGGCACAGGGGGTTATTGCTGTTCCTTCTGAGACTGCTGTTCCCTGCAGAACCTCCCTGCTCATCTTCCTGCTGCCCTTGCTCCTGGCATCAGCTCCCAGCTGGGTTCCTTCACCCTCTGTCCCATGAGACAGCAGCCATGACAAAAGAGTCAGAGAAATCAAGTGAGCACATCAACAGGTGGGGAGTGAGAGCCTTTAACCTTCCCTAGTGAAGCCACTTGCTCTGGGACAGGTTCCAGGGGAGCAGCAGGGCTGTGCCAGCCAAACCCCTGCTCTCTACCCCACCACACACCTCACCTGCCCTGCCCAGACACTGCCAGCCCCAGCACAGCCGAGACCATTAACTTTTTATTCCCTTCCATTCTAATCTAATTATATTTCTGTGTTCAATAGCTGTGCATAATGTTAAACAGGCTATTCCGAGCGAGCTGCAGCCAGGGAAGGTTGGAAATTTCATTTACACTGAATATATGATTCATTACAGCAGGGACTTGGGACAGAGCAATTAATTCACCTGAGCGTGTGGCTCGAGCGGGCACCACTGCCCACCATGAGCTGGCACACACAGACCCTTAACTGCTTTCCTGCCACCACTATGCTGTGCCACCTTCAGAAGTGACACAAGGAGGTGGAAATGCCTCGAGCCAACTCAACAGAAGAGAAGAAAATCCCCTAAGTCTGTACTGTTGCAACCAGAACAACATCGCTGCACTCCCTTGGTCACAGCAGGGGTGACCGGCTGGGACTGCGCACGCAGGGTCGGCTTTGCAGAGCAGGGGGCTCGGCAGCAGGGCAAGGAGGAGGAGGGTGAGGAGGCAGAGGACCCCAGCACCCTCGCAGTGAGCATGGAAGTGTTTATGACAGCAAACAGCACCAAATAAGCTTTCAGGTACAGAGGGAGCGTGCATGCTGGACGGGTGGCGCTCGGATGAGGCGGGCTGTCCATCATGTCACCAGAGGTTAATTACAGATCAGGCCATTTCACAGCATGGAAATTACTGTGGCTTGTTGAGGTTTTTAGAGGTGGGCTGGAACCATGGGATCAGGCTGAAGTTCGAGTCTGCCCCAGGGACCCTTTGCTCTCCAATCCACATCCATCCAGTCTCCACCTGCTGTAGTGTGGCCTGTCTGCAATTAATCTCCCTGGAAAAGCCATTTGGCACTCAGTGCCCCACCCCTGGCAGGGTGTCAGCCAGCCCAGCCAGGTGAGACACCCTGCTCGAGCCCAACACCCCGAAGGAAGCGCAAGGGGCAGGATGGCACCAGGCAAGGTACGATGGGCACGGCGGGGGGCACAGGATGGATGGGGGATGGACACGAGGAGCACGGTACGTACCAGGAAACAGCCCGCTGGCGTCTGCCCTGCCCCCAGAAGTCAAACAGGCTTCGGCCAGTCAGCAGGAGATTTCAAACCATTTCTCAGACACAAAGGCCACGGGAATAAGATGCCGGTCAGAAGAAGAGGGTCTGCAGTGGGCAGAAAGAGGGGCTGGTATACACGCTGGTACGTAACACACGGAGCAAGCCAGGCGGCCTGCTGCAAATCAGCTTTGTTAGGGGAAAAAATTACATCTCTCTAGAGTGATGCTTTGAATGGGCTTGGGTCTGCCAGGCTGCCAGGAAGTGCTCAGGGCCAGAGGGTCCCAGAGAACATCCCTGGATGGCAGAAAAGCCATGATCCCTGTGAGCCGGAACACCGGCATCCTCTGTCACCTGGCCGGGGTTCACATCAGACTAATGCAGGTGGACAGTTCTCCACCTTCCGAGGTCTGAGGATACCCTGGAAAATGTGCACCAGCAGAATCCCATGCACATGCAAAAGATGCTGGTTAAGAAGATGCCTGTGGAGCTGCTGGCTCCCAACCTGTCGCTGGGGCAGGCAGACACAATCTGCAGGTGGCACGCACTCCATGGTTCTACCAGGCTGCCTGGAGGACCACTTGCTTGTTTTCTCCATTAAAACCCTCTTCCCAGCTTTCCCTCTACCTTTGATGGGGACACACATTTACCACGTGATAAAACCACACCAGCAACTGGTGAATGGGCTCTGGTGCCAGCCTGGGGCACGGGGAGCCCAACCCCATCACTGCTGACCCCCTCCCTGCGGGCAGGCGAGGGGCAGGCAGAGCAGGGCTGCATCCCTCGCACGGCACCGGCAGCCCTTGTTAACGCGCCGCTATTTCACGCCAGCCAAACGCTTCATTTGGCTCTCACCGCCTGCTCCTCCATTAATCACCTGCTCGTTCGCAGCCCGGCAGCTCTGCCGATGCCGCTGAGGAGACAGCACAGGCGCTGGAAGATGGATCCAGCGGCATTTTAGGTGCTGGCAGCGGCAGCCGGGAACTGAACACACCGTGTGGTGCTGAGCGCTGCCGGAGCTTGCCGAGCCACGCGGGGCCGGGGACTGCTGAGGCACCTACCCAGCCCCACAGGCAGGACAAGGGGTCTGGGGGCCAGTCCCACGGTAAGCTATGGGGCAGGTGAGTGCTGTGAGCCAGAGGAAGGTGGTTCTGCCACATGCCCCCAGGGCACCTCATCACCAGAGTTGGACAGTGCTCCCCAACCCACCGGGAAGCCAGGGCGCCCACCTCACCTGTTTCCATTGAAGGTCGTTTTGTAATCCCCGGGCGAGTGCAACGTGTCCTCTGCGTAGACGGACACGGGGGTCCGGACGCACTCGTGAGAGCACTGCAGCGTCTCGTTGTAGGCGGTGAAGATGTCGAGGGCGCTGGGCACGCGGGCGGGGGCGAAGTCGGTCAGGTTCTGGCAGCTCTCCTCCTGCTGGTCCAGCTTGCGCTGGTGGCTGTTGCGCCGCGGGCGCCCGCTCTGCGCGCAGCTGGATGGGGAGAGAATCGGGGAATCAAGGAATGCTGGGGCTGGGGCTTGCAATGTGGGTCAGCCCTGCCCTGGAGCACCGGCCCTCACTGCCCCAGCAATGCCCAGAGTCACCCAACACACGGTGTGAGGAACTGAGAGGCACTTTGGTCAGAGCTGAGCAAACTCCCAGGGGCTGCTTCTCCAGCTGGGATACACCTGGGTGCTGCCTGCGCTTCCCTGCTGGGCATTTTCTCTGGTGATTTCCCAATTTCACTTCCTATAAACCATTTTTATTGTACACTGCTCACTGGATTTATTTTTTCCCCTTTCTGGCTTCAGCAGCAGTTACTGAGCTGTTGTGCCAAGCCGTGGTCAGCCGGATCAATGACTCACCGCCACGACTGGAGACAAATCCCACAAGTGTTTTATAAACTATTTTCCCTGCTCCTTCACTGAAACACTGCAACAGCCAGGGAAGTTTAGTGAACTAAATCCCATCTGAAATACAGGAGGGAACATCACCAGCTGCTCCCCAAAGCAAGCTCAGCTGTGGGGCCAGAACCTCGGCCTTTTTGGCCACTTGCTGCGCTGAGTTACAGCTCTGCCAAGAGGAAGATGCCTCCATAGCCCTGCAAAGAGCTTTTCCTCTCATCTGGGGAGCCAGCGGGCTCCTCATCAACCCGGTGTTCTAATTGCCTCCTGGCTGCAGGAATCAATTTGCTGCAGCACCCACAGAGAGCTGGGCTGGGCCAGAGGAGAGAGCCACTGGCAGGACCGCACGGCCGCTCTCCCCAGCCCCGCGCTGCAGCCGTGTCGCTACACCAGCAACGCTGACCTCAAAGTAGGCCAGTTTCCCTGGGAAAATAGGTAAAGTGAGGAGTGCCTGGAGCGAAAGCTAACCTATTTTGCCATACGCCCAGCCACGCTGAGAGAATAAACAGGAGCAAATGAAGCTGGAGGAGCACAGCAGCGCCCTGGGGGATGGGGCACGCTTCAAACCACGGCACCTGAGGGGCTCTGAAGGTGCCCTTTCATCCCTGGGATCCCAGGGAGGGGCAGAAGATGCAGCTGCTTCTTGCTGAGCCAGGCTGGGGATTTAAGGAGCAGCATCAAAGCTGCATAGGGAAGGAAGCAGAGGAGCTGCTGGCAGCACCAGGCAGGTCCTGGGAACACCCGCTGTGGCCCAGCACACGGCTCTGACCTCTCCAGGTGCCACCACACTGCAGCGCTCAGCCCTGCAGCAGCGATGCACGTGTCCTACATGGGACTCAGCCACCCAACCCCAGCCACGTGCTGGTCCCCAAAGCCACCAGGCAGGGGGTGAGAGGTCAGGGAGCTGCATGGGCATGGCTGAACCCTGGTACACCAACCTCCTTCTGAGGATTCGGAATAAACCCCCCCTTTCTTCCTGCAATGCCTTTCCAAAGCTATCCTAGAGGGTGCCAGGGGATTTGGCATTCAAAGCTGGACACAGCTGGCATTCTCGTCCCCACCCTGTCCCTGTCCCCCACCACCCCCCAAGCCAAGCAGAGCAGGAGGTGTGGAGGGACCTTACCAATTTTTTAAGACAAGAGTTGTTATCAGCGCAGCTATGACCATGATGAGGGACACAGTAATAGTGATTATCTGATGAACTGCCAGACCTGTGGAGATAAGAAACAAGAGAGAGTGGGGATGGGAGCCGAGGGGACCCTTGAAGAGCCCCCTACCCAGCACAGCCCCCTACCAGCCCTTCCCAGTGTGCAGCCACATGCAGCCCCTGGCAGCAGCACTGCAATCCTCTCTCCTGCCTTACACAAAATAATCTGTAAGCCAGGCTCCTCATTTCCTATCCTCTCAAGTATGTTCCTTGTCAGCCCGAATTAGGCAGGAAGAACGGAAGAGAAGTGAAGACGTCTCCCCTCGGGGACGGAAAGGGAGACGAGCACAGCCTTGCACTGGGCGCAGGATTCACCAGGGATAATAATCACGGCGCTGATGGCTGCTCACTTCGTGCATCGGGTGGGCTCATTTCCCCCTCTTCACCTTCTACGGGGTATCATTTTGGCTCGGGGATCATTCCTAATGAGCAGTTTGGAAACAAAAGCAGCTCGCTGTACAGTATGTTTGTGATTTTGTGCAGCCTTACAGTTGCAATTTCATAATGAAATGATTTTTCCTGGCTGCAGCCCAAGGATGTGCTATTTTTCACAAACAGATGTTGCAGCTCCTGATGGATGGTAGTTTTAATAAATAAATAAGTCTTAGAATGACAGGAAAATAAGCAGTTTTATATATATATATGTATGCATGCATCTGTGCCACACGAGTGCAGCAGCCCCAGCTCACACAGGTGCACATGGCGAGGGAACCACTGCTCCTTCCCACAGCAGGGCACAGGGCTCCTGCCTGGATATCCAGGGGCAAGGATGGTGTCGGTGTTGTCATGGCTTGGCCAGAGATGGGGGTGCCTGGGGGCCATCAGACTGCAGAGCTGGGCAGCACTGAGGCAGCCACTGCTCACGGGGAGGGATTCACTCGCAGCCCCGGTGCCGGCAGGGCAGGCAGCAACCAACTCCCACGAGCCAGAGCCACAGGACTCGCTCCTCGGCTGCTCCACCTCTGGCTTCCATCTCCCGGGGGAATTCACAGGGAAACAACCACCAGGCTCCCCACCTCCCACTAGCACCCAGCCTCCTGAAGGCAAGGCGTGGAGGAGGACTTCTGGTGCCACGCTCTGAGCTCCCGGAGGATGGTCCCAACGGGAGCACGTCCCGGCGGACCGAGGAGCGCAGCTGGCAGCGACGCCCACCCCGGCAGCAGCCAGCCCGGCCGCATCCCGCACGGCAGTCTTGGAGCAGCTCCCAGTGGGACGCTGCTGAAAAAGATAAAAGGGAAGGCTCTAAAAATAAAATCAAACCAGCCCAGTGCCCCATTCCTCTGGAAACAGAAGCGGCGTTGGGGACGAGACCTTCTGGAACACTGGGAGCTGAGGCAGCAGCGGCAGGGCCACGGCACAACCTAACGAGGCAATTAATCCTTGTATTTACGTAATGAGAAAGGCACAGGCAGAACAGATTGCAGGTGGCTGAGCACTGGGAAGGATGGCAGCTCCTCGGAGCAGGACACATGGATTTTAAGAAGGGCTGGATAATTTTAGACTCTATCACAGACATAAGTTGCCATATGTACCGGCACAGAGGAAAGTTCTTTTGCATCATGTATTAATTCTGCACCAGAGCCCAGGGGGATTTCAAGGGGACAGGACATATTTCTCCCAACAGTGGTGACAGACAGAGGGATTGGACTAGACATCCTCCCAGGATGGTTCTCTGGGAAGCCCTTTAGCAACACTCACTGCAATAAAGGGTACCCGGGTCTTTATTCTTACTTTATAAATACATCCAGTTCTTTCCTCTGGGCCCTCAAAGAATACAGAGCAGTATGGAGCAAGATCAGACAGAAACAGCCAATCTGCAAGGGATGGGATTAATGGATGGGGTACCCTGGGAGACGGGAACATCCCGTAAGGGACACACAGCACCTAGAGGGGGAGGTGAGATGGAGAGAGATGCTGCCAGAGGCAAAGGGGTATTTTAGGCATGGCCCTTGGAGCCCAATCTGATGGAGGAAGGGGACTTGGAAGATAAAATCAATAGCTCATAGAGCAAAATGATCCTCCTCCTCTGGCATGGGAAGCTGCCTGGCACAGGCAAAACTCCCAGTGAGAGACTGTGCCCCCAGAGAGGGACCCTGGGAGCAGGGATTACGGGGCCAGGGTTTTGTTTGCTCATCTCCACGGCAAAAGCTCTGATCCCAGTGGGCCACAGAACCCGGCGGCCACGTAATTGCAATTATTAACTGTGGAAGCAGGGAGCTGCAGGGAGGGCAGAAATGGGCACGGGAGGGCAGGGAGGGACACCCGGCACCAGTCATGGCACCTGCAAACACCTCAGCCCTGCGAGGGCTCCCCCCGCCAAGGCTTTTACCAGGCGATTTGACGCAGTGACCATTTAACTGGAGGGTAATTACAGGAGAAGTATTTAATGGAACTCAAAGTGTGTCCAAGCCCCTGTGCTTCTGCTAGTGCAGCAGAATTCCGTGTGCCGCCTGCCAGGAGGGAAAGCTCTTCAAAGGAGCTCTCTGAACCCTCGGAAATGCTGAAATATTGCTGGGTTTTTCCACTCTCGTGACACCCGAGCGCGCTCCACTCTCACCAGGCCTTCTCATCCCCCCCGGTGGGGGGAGAGGGGCCACAGCATCCTGGCGGGCAGCACAACCCAGCTCCCCATTCCCCTCACCCTGGGCAAAACCCCAATCTTCTCAGAGCAAGCCAGTGCCAGGGCTTTTTTTATCTGTTATTTTAAAGACCATATATTTGCTGCTGAGATGAAAGCGCTGAGGTTTGGCCTTTCTGGACACCTTTTGAAATGGCTCCCGGACAGCTCTGCATCAACAGAATTAATTCCATGAGAAAATCCATTCGAGACTAATGTCTTGCTACTGCAGGAGCACGCAGTGGCAGCGAACAGGAGATATAAGCTCTTAATTAAAAACAAAGAGAACCTCTATCCCCCAAGGCCTTTATTTCAACAGCTCTGGTTAGGGAGCCTGTATTTTTCATTTTCCCAATAAAAACAGCTACGAGCCACAACTCTTTGAAGACCCTCGTCAAGGCCTCAAAGCTGCATAAAATTAAAACTGGAGAAAACAGCTCCATTTCATTTGGCAGGGAGAAATCTGGAGTTACCACTGTGGGCCAGACACTGGCTGCACCCGGCCAGGGCTGCACCGGAGCATCCCAGCCCCTTCCTGCAGATGTGCCTTGTGGAACTCCCTCTCCAAGGCAGAGCTCAGCATCCCATCCTCATCCCTGACATGAATCTCCTTCTGTTCTCACATGCCCTGGACAGCGGGATGCCGATGCCTCCTCCTGAGTGTGGCGGAGAGTCTGGAGCAAACTGGCTGGACTTGAGAGGCTTTACAGCTTCCCCAGCCATCAGAACTCACATCTGAGCCCCAAGAGCCTCATGCCCTGATAAAGCTGCTTTTGGACAGAACAATTCAATCAGGAGTGTGTCGTGGCCACCCAGGGGGGATCAGCCAGACTCAGTCATAGCATGAACCTACTGCTGGTTAATAGCTTGTAAGGAAAATAATTTACAAAAGCCACGAGGCCTAGATAAATGGGAGGAGATATGGCAGGAGCCTTCTTGGAAAGCCTTGGTCCAGTGCACAGCCAGTTCCTCTGCTGCCTGACCCACTGTGCCATGAACTGCCTTGGGTCCTCTCTTCCCATGCCTGCCCCTTGGTTTTACACCTGGTAAATCAGGGTGATCATTCCAAAACCCAGCCCAGGGAGTGTTAGTCATCCTGAGGTGAAAATGCAGCTTTTCAGCAAAAAACCCACCGAGGTTCCTGGTAACCTCCTAATATTTTGGGCTGGACTGATGAAAGAAGGAAAATATCATGCTGTTGCTGCTTAATGTTCTTGCCAAGAAGGAAGATCCTAGAGGCTTATGCTAAAGACACTGGGACTTATCTGCTCAGGTGTTACAGCAAATATCAGCAAGCAATAAATGCTCAGCGAGCAGCAGAGGAGAGTTTCTGGCTCACTGAGATGCACGTGGGAGGACGTACAGAGGCACACTCACCATCTGTGCACCCCGGGGAGGGAGAGTCCCGTCCCCCCTTGCAGGGAGAGCTCAGCTGATGACCATACTCCTTCCTTGCTTCCACCATCACCCTCCACCCTTCGGGACAACTACAGCTGATGCACGACCTTACGAGGCATCCTCTGGGAACCTCATGGGAAGGGTGACCGGTTGTGCTGGCCCAGGAGACACCATCCAGCCCCCTCACCTCCCCTCCATCCTCCGGCTGCGGCATCTCCCCACTCCTTGGCACAGCGGATCAAAGAGGCGGCTCCATCCCAACCGCCCAGGGTCTTCTTTAAAACACATTTTATCTTTAATTAATTCCTTTGAAGCTTTTTGCATCCACTATCTCCTCGCATCCAGCAACCCCTACTGCACCCTCTTTCTGGAGGAGGGTCATGCCCAGCAGGAAGCCAATGTGTCTTTATCACTATTTATTCCCAACGTGCTCCCAGTCGGTGGCAGGGAGGGGGAGGCAGGTGGGCTGGGGCCAAAAGGAGCTGAGATCTGGCTGCTGGCACAGCACTCACACCCATGCAGCCCCTGCCTCCGCCTGGGAGCACCCCAGCCCTGGGAAGGGGTGATCCTGAGCACCAGCTCCGTCAGGAGCTCACTGCCCGCAGAGCACGGTGCCAAACGTGCTGCAACTTGCCATCAAACACCACGAAGAGCAGCAGACGGCACACGGAGTTTTCTGCCTTATAAAGCACTTAAAGGTTTAATTAAAGACAGCTTTATCCTAATGCTCCTGAAAGGAGTGTCGGACAAGCCAGTGAGTGCAATTCCTGCCTCGCTCTGACAGCTTCAATTCATTCTGCTCTCCTCTGCTTTGGCTGAGGCTGTGGGACTGGGGGATGTTCTGTCTTGGTGGAGGAGCCCAGCCCACGCAGAGAGTGCCTGGTGAGGGCTCCTCACAGCCCTTCCCGCTTGTAGCGTGCTGGAATTTTAATTATTCCTCTCTTTCCCTGCTCCAGAGTAAAATGATTATGACAGCCCCGAAAAAGGAAGCACATTTTTGAAAAGCACAAGCATAACCTACGCCTGGGTGAACATCTTGTGTGCCCAGCTGATGCCAGCAGCGCTGTGCTGTGCCGCAGGGGTGGCATCGGGACAGGCACACCTGAGCTGCAGGTCACCTGAACCCCTGTGGCAGCACCCACCGAGCCAGGGAATGAGCCAGCTTCTTCTCTCATCCCAGGCATTACCAGCTTTTTTTTCCTTCCTTCTCAGTGAGGAGGAGGGGGGTGAGAGGACAATGTCACAGAGCAGAGCTGCTCCTATTGCTCATCTCAGCGAGCGCTGCTGCCTCCACTAAGTGAGCACCCCAAGGACCCCACAGTCCTCCAGCATCACCAGGTGCCCAGAGGCGAGTCCCGCTCCAGCACCACAGGGAGGGACAGAAGGACATGGCACAGGAGGGACACAGGGGCAGCAGCACCTTCATCAGCACGATGGCAGTGCCTGCTCTGCTGGGATTGAGGGTGCTGCTCCGTGCCGGGCAGTGCGGGTCTGCGTGGCTGAGGGAGCCCTGGGGCAGCTCTGCCAGCTCCTGGGATCATCCCAGCTCCTGCGGCTGCCACACGCAGGTGGGACCACCCTGACGCCCCAGGCGGCTGCCGGGGACAGCTGAGGGACCACGGGCAGCAAGAGCAGCATCACACCTGCCCGGGGCTCCCGTCACGGCGCCTCACCGGACAGGGACTGGCAATGCTCGCTCAGGCACATAAACCGTACAGGCGAGTTACCTCATCCTCATTTGTAGCCATATGTTTTTCCCAGCAGAGAACAAACACTTCCAGCCGCTACAGCTTATATAACAGAGCAGAACAGGGCTGGGGAGCTGCACAGCCTCGCACAGGCACCACGCCAGCAAAGCCAGCAAGAGCACGGCCCCTGTCTCGAGACGGCGTCGGCTGCTCGCTTCCGAAACGCTGTCCCGAGGCACGGCAGGGGCACGGTGCTCCAGCTGGGAGAATGCAGGGAGCCCTCCCGGACCCTCAGCCCCAGCACTGGAACAAAAAGCGGATCTAGAGCTCAGGAGCTTTTCAACTGAGGGTGGACGGGCTGGGATCAAACAGGGCCTTTAGCCCTGTAAAGGAGTTTATCACATTCACCGCTCAAAGAGAAGTTAATTAGCAAAAACTCCGATCCTGGAAAAAGCCCCTAATGAGAGCTAAAGCCAGCAGATTAAAGCAGCTGGGCCCCCTGGGAGCTGCCGGGGCTGCAGCTCCCGTCATTCTGTGGCCAGGCAGGACAGCACTGGTGGCACTGGCGGGTGGCACCAGCAGGTGGGTGGCACCAGCAGGTGGGTGGCAGCACCACTGGCTCTTCCCCACCTAAACAAGGCAGCTCACTCCACTAAGTCCCAGAGCCCCAGCACATGCCAGGAGTTATCCTCCCACAGCTGGGGCAGGCAGAGGGGCTCCCGCAGCTGGCAGAGGGAAAAGAGCCCACTGGACCTTCCAGTCCTGGATCAGATAAAGCCACCCATGGCAGATCTGGGGAGACCAGACTGACAATCTCACCACGCAGTGAGCGACTCACTCCGCAGCCCTTATCAATACTCCCTCGCTAATCTATCCAGCCAATTCCAGTGTTTGTAAAAGGTGTGTAGGTTGGGAGTTATTTTGCCTCTATAAATAACTCCTTTAAGTCAGGAACAACATCCTGGTTGCATTGTCTCTTTCTGCCAAGCAGGGCAGGCTGGATAAATTAATTGGGATTAAGATTAGGCCATAAAATTCCTTTTCATTTCGACTAGAAAATCACAGTGGGCTCAGAGCAGTCGATGCACAGTGAGTAAATTCTGTAAACTATCCACTGATATCCCATGGTTTAATATCAGCAATAACAAATATAATTTGCAATAAATGTGAAGCAGCTTTCCCATCCATGTCCACGCAGCAGCCAGCGCTGGGGGAAGGCATCGCTGCGCCGAGCGCCGTGCTCAGCGCTATTACGGGAGATGGCTGTGGATGGAGACTGTAATGGGAAAACACAGCAAGCGGCTGGAAAACACCTCGGGTAAAAGCGATAATCAGCACTGCCGTTCACCTCCAAGCATTTCCTTAATGTCACGCTAACTTCTGTCCCAGCTAGTCTCACGGTGACCCCTGCAATTCAGGACCCCCAGCCCTCCTGATGACCCCTCCATCGCCCCGGCCCCTGGCAGGTCCTACCTGTGCTGTCTCCCAGCCCGCGGGGCGGTCGAGCATCTTTGCCTCCACTGCTGTGTCCGGCGGCCGGTTCGGCAGTGCTGGTGCGGCCGGGGCTGCTGCGGGGCACGTCCCCGCCGGGCACAGGTGCCGGGGTGCTGGGGGACGCGCGGGGCGGCGTGGCGGCGGTGGCGGCGGCGGCGGTGGTGGCGGTGGTCGTGGCAGCGGTGGTGGTGGTGGTGGTGGTGGCGGTGGCGGAGGCGCCGGGCAGAGTGCTGCTCTCCAGGGAGTCCTCCTCGCCCGTGGGGCCCCAGACGATGACCTCAGGCAGCACCGTGGGCCGCCCGTCCCGCGGGGCGAAGCCGCGGCCGCGCAGGTGCCGCCGGCCCCTCCGGGAGCGCGGCCGGCGCAGGGGGTGGCCGGCGGGCAGTGGGGCACTGAGGGGCGGCCGGCGAGAGCGGGGTCTCTGCAGGGGGGGCGCAGGGGCGCAGGTCCAGGGGGGCCCGGGGCGCCGCAGCTCCTCCCCGCTCCCCGCTCCCCACAGCGAGCCACGGGACAGTCTGTGCCGGAGCGCCGGCCGCGGTGAGAGCCTCCCCCCGGCGCCGGGGGCTGGGGGCTGGCAGCTGGCAAGGTCCATGGCTAGGTGGAACATGGCTATTAAAATCCAAGCATGGCTTCCGAGCGGGTAACCTGACCTGTGGGCAGACAAGGATCGTGTTAAAAGGGAAGGGCAGCAACCCCACGCTCCCTCCCGGCACATCACACCCTGGCTCTCCAACAGCAGCCACCCAAAGCGGCCCCCAGCCCGCACAGATGCCATCTCCCTCCCTGGCACTCCAGCCAGAGTCCCCCAGAATGACATCACAGGGCACCCTGAGCCCCTCCCACTGCAAACCCCACCACCACAAACATGGCAGACTGAGGATCTCCATCCACAACCACGACTTTTCAATTGGTCTGGGAAAGCTGGGAACCACTCAAGGATGGGTTTTAGCAGGAAATGAACTGAGGAAGGCAAACAGCCCTTTTGGGTGAATTACCCAAAGCAGATGGCAGAGCAGAGCGCAGGGGTATCAGGGAGCCTGTCCCCTGCTTCCCACGCCAGGCACGAGGAGCCACCTGGCCACGGGCAGCACTATAAATCCCTCAAAGAGCTGGAGCAGATGAACCTGTGGGCTCTTGCATTTGCACATGTAGCCCTTCTCCTACTATTGCAGCCGCCCACGCTGCAGCAGGAGCATCCTCCCACGGAGCATGGCACATCCCCTGCTGTGGCACACGGCACTCAGAGCTGAACACAACCCTGTGGCACAGGGAGGGCAGAACGAGCAGCCCCTCTCGCTGCCCTCTCTGTCACAGAGCAGCTGGAAGTGGCCTGAGCTGCCAGCAGGCTCAGCAGTTACCATTTTGGTTTGGTGTAACATGTCACCAACACATCACATCGTGCCATAGCCCTCTCCCTTGCCCAGCAGCACCGCACCGTGTGAGGCTCTGCTCCCCTCGCATCTCCTCTGAGATGCTGCCCCATGCAAAGCAGCAAGAAAATTCCTGATAGGCAAATTTTTGTTGTTTGTTTTTGTTTCCTGGGGAAAAAAAAAAATCATTAGGCCAAAGCCCAAAAAAATCTTTACTCCATTTTACTCAGCTTTTACACGAGAAAGACTTTTGTTGAACTCAGCAGGAGTTAATGAGAGCTTTACATGGCTAAACGGGCTAATCCTCCGCAGCGGCGCCCGCACAGTCCTTGGGAGCACGACAGAATGTGCATCTGGTTGACAGAAGCATTTGTACACTCCCTCCGCGCGTGAGCAAGCGAAGCTAAAGGAGCTGACCTGGATACTCCCAAGCGCAGGTTTTTTCTGCTCAGAGGATCTCTGCTTTTTTCCTAATTGGGTATTTTTTCAAAGCGTAACAGCATTTATTTTGGGGAGGGAGAAGGCAACACAGGGAAAGAGTGCAGAAGGAGAAAGGGAAGAGCCAGAAACAGACAACAGAAACCAAAATAGTTCAGGCTGGGGGAGGAAGGATTTCAAGGCTTCAAAAAACCACAAACCACTCAAACCGTGGTGGTGGTGGGTTTTTTTTTAGAGGCCGGCAGAGCGGTGTCAGCACGAAGAGTGTCCCCCATGTGCTGCAGGCAATGCTGTGTCTCCACCGGCAAGAAGTCAGGAGCTCAGGCTCCAGCCAGAGCATCAGGCACAGACTAACCTTTGAAACACTCATGTTCACTCCAGCAGCACGTCAGGCTCAATTTTAGCCTCTGTCCAACTCCCCAGCATCACCTGAAATGTCTCCTTGCAAGGAAGGAGAGGTGCTGGGCACCTCCTGGCACATCACCCCCAGCTGCCACCTCTAACACCACCTGTAACCACCTCCTGTGGGACCTGCCCCAGCATCCCTGCATTGTTCATGGCATCAGCATCAGCAGAACGTGTGGGAAGAGGCAACGTACAACCCTCATTTTCCCCTGGGTCATGCTGGAAACTCCTGTCCCAGCGTGGCCAGGCAGCGTGGCCCAGTGACACCCACACAGCAAGCGTCCCTTGCTCCTGCCATCGCTGCCCTGGCCAGAGGTTCTGTGATCAGGAAGGACGTGGTGGGGGACACGCAGGTGGGGCAGACCCACCCTGCCCCAAGGACACCTGTGCGCCCTTCGAGCGAGGCCAGGCAAGGGGCTGTCACCCCAGGAGCATCCTCCTGGCCACCCTGCTGGCTGGCACAGCCCCAGGAGATGGATTCAGGGATGGAAGCAGCGGGTCTGGTTACCTCGGAGGAATTTTGCATGGCATGCGATCTTCTGAGGGCTTTGCAACAACAGATAAGAGCAAGTGTCCTTCAGAATAAATAGCAGCGTGTAGGAGTTGCTGTTGTCTTGGCAACGCAGCGTGATGTGCCCGGCGCGGCGGCGGGGATGGATGCGGCAGCGCGTGGCACGGCCAGCGGCAGGACCACCCGGCCCTCCCCTGCCACCCCTCAGCCCCCCACCCTGAACCAGCCCCCTGCCGAGGCAGGGCAGCGAGACAGACACGTCCCAAAAAGCACCCTGGGAGCGGGGACATATCCCGCCCGGAGCTCCTGCCACCTTGTCCTTGCCCCAGAAAACCTGGGCTGTTCCAGGAGAGCTTGCTTGGCACGGCATGGCACAGCAGGGCGTGGCACGGCACAGCAGGGCGTGGCACGGCACGGCACAGTACCCTGGGAGCCCCCGTGTCCCCACCTGCCCCGCAGGAGAGCATCGGGCTCCTCCTGGGAGGCGAGCACAAAGTCACCACTGCTCAGAGCCCGGGAGGGTGTTCCAGCCTCGCCGGGACATCAACCAGCTCCAGCACCTCTCCAGTGGCACAAGCTGCCTGGGAGAGCAGAGGCAGAGGATCCTCCGCTGCTCCCGAGGGATCACTCCCTAACTGCACCCAGATGGAGGCTCTGGCATAGGGAAGGGAACACAATTGTCCAGACACACACATAGCACCCACCTGCCGTGGTTTGGGGGCACAGAGCCAGCCCTGGTTGGGAGTACATGAGGGACAGAGAGATGCATTGGGAAAGGCCTCGGTTAAGCTGCACTCAGGAATCAGGGACTTGGTTATTCCTGACACCCCCATAAACACATACAAGCTTTCTGGCAAAGAGATTTGGGGAGCGTGGGCAATTTTCACATTACTTCTTTTCCCATCTTGGAGGTACATGGGAATGTTATCTCAAAATACTTCTCAAACTCAAGGAAAAAAATCAATAAAACTCTGAAACTGGGTTGGAAAAAGAAACACATAGCAGAGATACTTGAGAAGATGAACTCCCTTCCTTGCTCTCCTCATCTGAGGCCTTTGCTCCCACCAACCACAAATCCACTCCCATGGCTCCGTGGATAGTGAGGCGGCCTCACTCCCACACAGGAAGGGGAACTCCTACAAATATCCACCTGCCAAAAGCACAGGAGCAGATTTCAAGGAAACCACTGAGCTAATGACATGGATCAGGCACACCAGGCACTCTGGGACTCTTTGCTGAGCCCATCTGTTCCAAAGGTGATGGAGCAGTGGGTGTCAAAGGTGCCACGGCAGAGGCTGGAGCCACTGCAGCCTCCACACCCAACGTGACACCTTTCAGAGCCCTTCTCTGTATGAAACCCCTTCCTGAATCCTTCTAGCTGCAGCCATGTGCTTTGAAGAGGAGGACAGTTGGCACTTGAGAGAGAGATTAATTTCAAGGATGCTGGAGGATGCGAGCTTGCTGCTGTCTTCGGCAGTCGGGAAGAGGCTGCCGTGGAACTCAGCTGCTGCCGCCACTGCACACGTGGTGCCAACCTCCACATGCAGGGAGGGAAAGCAGGAGTATCCAGCATGAAGTGGGACAGAAGAATGCCCACTCCAGTGCCAGGGACCTTCAGAGGATGGTGGCACCTTGGGGAGCCCTGATACTGCAGACAGGACGCAGGTTAACCCAGCACACCCACTGTGCTCCCAGAAAGCCCCAGCTCTGGTAAGGTGTCTGGGAATTAACTGGGATCATGGCTTTGACAAACATCAAAACACCACCCGTCAGCACCAACCCACTTCCCCGAAGCCTCAAAGGCTCACTCGAGTGCAGTCCCTTTCACAAGGTCCTTGTTTGCTCTCCAGCACCAGCCCCTTTCTCCCCTGCCTGTGGAGACTCTTCACAGGAGCATTAACTGCAGAATAGGCTGATTTTTAATGCAGAATTATACAAGTGGAGCCATTCTTCCATTTCATGCCTCCCGTTAGGTAATCTATCGGTATTGCACAGGGAATCAAGGTTATGTCCTTGTTGGGGTGATTTACGAACTCTGAGCATTTCATAGCTCTGAACACCGAGCGAGGCAGACAGAAATATTCCTGTGAATGCCTGGAGCAGGAGCAGGAGCCGTGGTCAGAGAGATGGGGTGATGTTTGCTTGAGCGAGGCACGACACGGCAGAGAAGTGGGTGCCACGCTCTGCCACGCTCTAGGAGAAGCATCCTTGGCAGCGTGGCTGCGTGCCCTACAAAGGCGTTCAGAGCACGGCACGTTACGAGAGTACGTGCAGGAACTCGTTCCATACGGAATAGAATGAGGCCGCTGCATCCCACGGGTGACTTTCACACTGGAGCAGGAGGAAGAGGGGACAACTTCAGTGGCAGATACTTGGCCTGCAATCATGTGTCCTCGCTGAGGTGGGGACTGCAGCCCCAGCCGCAGCCGCTCTCCTCCCCATCCCGCTGTCCTGTGCAACAATCCCTGCAGTGCAGCAACTGTCCTTTGCTGTCACACTACCAACCACTGCCAGGGAAATAGAGCATCGCTGTCCTGCACTCCAGGTTGGACTGGGACCCTCCCCAGGGCTGCGAGGAGGGAAGATGCACGTGACAAGTTATGCCATGGGATCAGCAGGAGACCTTGTGGACCACCCCAGTGGGGCACCCAGCATGTCCCACACCACACCACAAGCGTCAATGGCACCGTGGGGACCTTTCTTCTGAGCCATGATCTGCTCCAGGATGAGCTGCTCTGATCCCAGACCCAGTGGGAACTGGGAACGCACTACTCACTGCGCCGTCTGCAGCCCCAACTTCTTCCAAGATAATTACAAATTTGTGAAAATATGGCTGCCAAGCTCTTTAAAGCCAGGACTGGGACTTAAGGCACAAAGGCTGACACACAGTAGCACCTAAGTAAATTAAATGTGCCACATCACTACC